TCTTGGATAAACTTATATTCCCTTAATTTATATTTTTATTTATTCTCATCACCTGTTTGCTTGATATTTTATTGATATTGTAAGGAGAAATTCTGTCTTGGTCACTCGAGGGAGCTGAAGGGTTAATTCCTTTCTTCAAAAAGCTTTTTTTTCCTCTTCCTTACATTTACCTTAGGATTAAACATTTCAGAATCAGTCAATGTAAAAGACTTGTTATTCAAAACAATCTTCAAACATATTAAAGTTCACGTGGAAGCCAGGTGGACAATCAGACATGGTTTGATGCTACTCTGGTTTAAAGAATTAATGTAACCAAGAAGTTATAATTCATAGACCAAACGTTTCGACACTCCTGTCTAGTGCCTTCATCAGGGGTGATCTAAACTCTGCCTAAAGATGTCTTTTTAGACCGTCACTAATTAGCTGCCCTTTTTTTCTGATGAGGTGTAAATAGGCGTCAGGAAGTAAGCTGCTGTCATGATTAACAGAAGCGTGGGCAGAGTTGATATGCAAGGCTTTCAAACGAAGGCACTGGTGGTAACGCTGATTGGTGGTGATAATTTTAGACTTATCCCACCCAACTGTATAGTTGGCTAGGCATGTGTGCTCCGATAAAGCTGAGTTTTTGCCTTTTAAAAGAAGGCCCGTTTTTAATGCTCTTTCAAACGTGTACAAACTGATGTTTGGTCTGTCCAATATACTCGCTATCACAGTCATGACAGAGGACAGTCTAAGGAACTTATAGTTTACCTAATGAAGAATGAGGGACCCAATCTCTTTGGCAGAGAATAGTGTTACGGTATTTTCTCAACCACCAGAAAGTTACAACTCGTAACAACTCAACTACTTTACTGACGTAATAACCTTACTACGGAGTGGTACCAATAACTAGCACAATAACTATTCACTTATCTTAGAGCCCTCTATAAAACTATAATCTCAGTGCACCACTGCACAACTCACAGTTCTCTTCGAAGATCCTTGAAACTTATCGATATTCACACAACTCTTCTCCAACATAGCCTTCCACACGCCTGACAATTCCAGTAACAATAAAGAATCCCAATGATTCATGCTTTCTGGCTCTGTACTAACACTAGCTCACAGAGATCTGTAATACAACTATTTTTAGTAACATTACATTGCTATTACATAATAAGAAATTATGCTGACTAAGGGTTCTGGAAAGTTCCATTGAGAGTTCTCAATAAGTCAGCATGAGTAAGCATTCTAGAAACTTCCTTAATTCTATATTTAGTAATTCGGTAACACAACGCACTCTTCATAACACCCTCCCCCTTAGAGAAAAGAAAGTTCGCAAAACTTTCTTGCAAAACTCAAAATCTTGAGGCAGTCTGCAATAACATTGTCTTTTCCTTTTATATGTCGGATGTCCAAGACATACTCCTGTAGTATTAAACTCCACCTCAACAATCGCTGATTCTTGTCCTTTAACTTATGAAGAAATACGAGCGGGTTGTGATCGCTGTAAACAACATATACTTCAAAATGTTGAAGAGCTAACACTAGTGCCAAACATTCCTTTTCGATGGTAGAATAGTTCCTTTGATTTTTGTTGAATTTCTTTGAGAAAATAACAAACTGGATGTTCTACACCTTCATCATCCTCTTGTAACAACACGGCACCAGCGGCGACATCACTTGCATCAACAGCTAACTTGAATGGTGAACTGAAATCAGGCACTGTTAAAACAGGGGCACTTTGTAACATGGCTTTCAGTTCCTTAAAAGCCTTTTCACACCGAACACTCCAATTAAATTTCACCTTCTTGCTGAGTAATAAACCTTCGATAGTAACCCGCCATACCAAGGAAACGCATCAGTTGTTTTTTGCTTTCTGGTCATGGAAACTTGATTATGGCTTCAACCTTGGCGCTTACTGGCTTTACTTGACCACATACGACAACATGTCCCAAATATGTAACTTGCGCTTGGCCAAACTCGGTTTTGGGAAGATTGATGGTTAACTTGGTCTTGCTCAACCTCTTGAAGAACTCGCAGATAGTTTTTAGATGTTGCTCACACGTTTCACTGTAGATGATCACATCATCAATATATGCTTCACAATCCTCAAAGTCGGCAATGACTTTGTTAATGAGACGTTGGAAAGTGGCAGGAGAATTTTTCATACCAAAAGGCATGACTTTATACTGATAAAGTCCTTCTGGGGTTGCAAATGCTGATATCTCCTTAGCGTGATCCGTTAGCGGTACTTGCCAGAATCCTTTTAGAAGGTCGAACTTTGTTACATACTTTGCCTTTCCCACCTTATCGATACAATCATCCATTCTTGGAATCGGAAAGGTGTCTGTCTTGGTTACACTATTAATTTTCCTGTAATCTGTACACATCTGGTAGCTTCCATCTGGTTTTGGAACAAGTATACATGGAGAACTCCAACTACTGCTACTTGGTTCGATGAAATCCTTCTCCAATAGATACTTTATCTCTTCCTTGAGATACTGTTGCTTTCTTGGATTTAACCTGTATGAATGTTGTTTAACAGGAGCAGCATCGCCGACATTCACGTCATGGAAAATCTGATTTGTCCTGGATGGTGTGTCAGGAAACAGGTCTCTATACTTTTCAAGCAGCTCCTGCAGGTCTTGGCATTGACTCTCTTCAAGGTGTGACAGCTTGGAGTCCAAGTTCTTCAGCACATTGGAGTTTGTGAGTTTTGATGTGTCAGTAGGACTGAGATGCCTATTACTAAACTCACTACTTAAGTCTTCAGGCTCAGAAATAACTACATTGATACTTGCGGGCTCTTTAACTAAATTATTATTTCTCTCGAAGTAACGTTTTAACATGTTTACGCCTATCTGGAGTAACTAATATGTAATTAAGGTCATTTAACTTCTTCTCAATAACATAAGGACCAAAGAATCTAGAATACAATGTGTTACCAGGCACTGGCAACAATGCAAGAACCTTTTGACCTGGCTCAAAACTACGTTCTACAGCGTCGATATCGTACTTCTCCTTCATAGACTTCTGAGAAGAACTAAGATTATCTCTGGCTAGTTCACAAGCTCTAGATAGCTTAGTGCGAAAATATGAAACATACTGTAATAGATTAATAGACTCACTACTGCTTGACAATAACTTCTCCTTAAGTAATTTAAGAGGTCCTCTCACAGTGTGCCCAAATACGAGCTCAAACGGACTAAATCCAGAGACTCCTGGAGAGACTCGCATGCCGCAAACAGCAATAAGTGGATTCCCTTATCCCAATCTTTCTCTGTTTCGAAACAGTAGACTCTCATCACGTCCTTTAAAGTCTGGTGCCATCTTTAAAGAGCTCCTTGACTTTGGGGATGGTACACGGATGATCTATACTGTGCGATTCCAAACTCGTGCATTACTTCTTGGAAAATACCAGACATGAAGTTAGAACCTTGGTTCTAACTTCCACTAGGAAGACCGACTAGCGTAAAGAACTTTGTTAAAGCTTTGACGATGGTCTTGGCCTTGATGTTTCTAAGGGGCATAGCTTCAGGGAATCTAGTGGATGTACACATGATCGTTAACAGGTACTGATTACCAGACTTCGTCCTTGGTAGCTACCCAACGCAATCAACAATAATTTGTCTGAATGGCTCTTGAACGGCTAGCAGAGGCTGCAGTGGTGCTTTTGGAATGGTCTGGTTTGGTTTCCCAACCATCTGACAGGCGTGAGAAGACCTGCAGTACTCGGCTACATCTTTTCTCAGGTTGGGCCAATAGAAATGCTCCACGATCTTCTGGTGAGTCTTGTTTACACCCAAGTAGCCAGCCAGGGGAGTCTCCTGCGTCGTACTCAAAATTTCTTGCCTGCAAGTCTTTGGGACAACAACCTGGTACTTAACAGCCCACTCATCCTTAGCTGGAACATCAGGTGATCTCCACTTTTTCATTAGCACTCCATTCTTCGTAAAATAACAGGTGGGGTTCTGTGATGCTTCGTTTTCACTTATACTTCTTACAAATAGCAGCAAAATTTCAGGGTCCTCATGTCACACAATGAGCTGAGAAGTCGACATCTTCTCAGACTGATCTGCTGGGCTCTTCTCAGGAGGACTTCTGTTGGCTCAGAAACGGAGGGATTTGATTGTTCATCCTCAACAACTCGACTGATAAGGGTGTCTGCTAGGGCAATTTCTTCATCACTGGTTTTCGTCTTCTTGCTCATGGCTCGCATTACCACACATGCAGGGTAAAGACCAGGAATTATCTTCTCAGCTGGATCTGGAGACTTTTCTGAACTAGGCTTCTTTGTAACGATAGCATTAACGACCACTTTGTCTCCTGCAAGGTCATTTCCGAGGATAAGGTGTACTCCATCAAATGGCAGTGTCCGTTGTATTCCAACTTTCACAGGACTAGTCACAAGATCCGATGATAGGAAAACTGTATGGAGCGGAACTGGGGTATACTCGGAACTGATTCCCCTGATTAGAACTCCTGCACCAATGGACGATTTCTCAGAAAACAACAAAGTGTTACCTTAGCAGTAAAGACTGCGAGGCTCCAGTGTCTCTTAAAATCTTGATCGGTACTGAATGTGACATATCACGGGATAGTGATACTATACCATATCCATGACAGATTTAGACGAACCACTGACATCATTTGTAGAGATTGTCTGGGTCTTCTCTTGAAGAAATTGCGGACGTACACATTCACTTTCAGAAACTAAAGGCGACGGCTTAGCAACAAATCCATTAGGCTTCGGCTCCACACCATGTTTTTGCGCGGCTCTCCAATTTTCTGGGCAACTGGAAATCAGGTGACATTCTTTTCCTGCAATAATAATAGGTTGGTGGCTTGACGGGCTTATTTGGAACAAGCCGGTTTAATCTTGGCGGGGTAGAGCTGGAACAGTTTGTAGAGTTGTTACTAGGGTTCTGTTTGGGATGTGCTCCGTCGTTCTGTTTACTCTTCTGGTTTCCAAGCCATCGTGATGCAGATAGAGACTGAATTTCACTGTGAGGCTGATAGGGCTTTCCCATGAAGTTCACTTTGTGACTCAATGAGAATTCATCAGATAACCGTGCTGCATCTTCCAACGTTTCTGCTCTTTGCTCGTTGATGAAGGTTCGGACATCACTGTGAATGCACCTCTTAAATTCTTCAACTAATATTAACTGTCTTAACTTATCGTGACTCTTGCCTATCTTCCGTGAATGACACCAACGATCAAATAACTGTTTCTTACTCCTAGCAAATTCTACGTAAGTTTGACAACTGACTTTCTCAGAGTTTCTAAACTTTTGACGATATGCCTCAGGAACTAACTTGTAATCCTTTAAAATAAGATCCTTAACAATGTCGTAACTTGCAGCTTGCTCTACACTTAACTGTATATATATTTCCCTTGCTTTACCAACCAATACACTTTGTAATAACATTACCCAGTACTCTTTGGGCCACTTAAGATTACTAGCTATTTTCTCGAAATGCAAAAAGTACTTATTGATATCTTTTTCTTGGAATGGAGGCACTAACCTAATATGCTTTGTAACCACAAAATTTTCACTATGCTTTTCACTACCCGAGCCTACTCCAAATTTCGTCTGTATCGCTAGCTTCATCATTTCTATTTCATGCTGATATGCTAGTTTCTCTTTCTCTAGCCTCTCTTTTCTTTCCATTTCCTCTCTCTTCAGTCTTTCTTGTCTCTCCTCTCTTTCCAGTCTTTCCTGTCTCTCCTCACTTTCCAGTCTTTCCTGTCTCTCCTCCCTTTCCAGTCTTTCTTGCATTTCCATTTCCTCTCTCTTCAGTTTCTCTTGTCTTTCCATTTCTTCTCTCTTCAGTCTTTCTTGTCTCTCCTCTCTCCAGTCTTTCTTGCATTTCTAACTTTCTTATTTCTAACATTGTTTTTGACGATGTTTTTAACGTTGTCTCTTCGAAAACCTTAGTATTCATCAAGCGGTTTAATATAATCTGTCGTATCTCATCTTTTTTCATTGTGTGCTTAAGCTCTATCTCTAAGTGTTTCGCTAGTGAAATAAGCTCGTCTTTCCATAATGCATTAAATGCTCCTTTGTCGGGACTTGACATAAATTCCTCTGGCTTAAACTGCGACATCTTGATATACTCTATGACTACTTTAGCTGACAGTAACTTATCCTCTACAGTAACAATAATCTTCTCAACAATGTTCGCTCCCGGACAGTAACTTCTACTCCAAATACTCTTCTGCAAAATTCACTCCCAGACAAGCCCCCAATTTCTGTTACGGTATTTTCTCAACCACCAGAAAGTTACAACTCGTACCAACTCAACTACTTCATTAACTGACGTAATAACCTTACTACGGAGCGGTACCAATAACTAGCACAATAACTATTCATTTATCTTAGAGCCCTCTATAAAACTATAATCTCAGTGCACCACTGCACAACTCACAGCTCTCTTCGAAGATCCTTGAAACTTATAGATATCCACACAACTCTTCTCCAATGTAGCCTTCCACACGGCTGACAATTCCAGTAACAATTAAGAATCCCAACGATTCACGCTCTCCGGCTCTGTACAGACACTAGCTTTGCTCTCAAAGAAAGGCTTACTCAAGAAAAGGCTGACTTTAACTAGTCGCAACTCCTTATATATGTTTTACAAGATGTTCTAGAACATTCCAGAGATCTGTAATACAACTATTTTGAGTAACATTACATTGCTATTACATAATAAGAAATTATGCTGACTAAGGTTTCCAGAAAGTTCCATTAAGAGTTCTCAATGAGTCAGCATGACTAAGCATTCTAGAAACTTCCTCAATTCTACATTTAGTAATTCTGTAACACAACGCATTCTCCATAACAATAGTTCGAGTCTATTCAGCTGGATTGGCTCTTACAGTTATTGTACAGTGTGGTTTCAGCACCAGCCATCTGGTAAAGTGCCTTGGACCAGGTCCCTGAAGGTAGTTTATGGGTTTCCCGCTACCTGGACAAAATTATTGTGATGGATAGGACCATGGAGGAACACCTTGAGCAGCTCGTTGCAGTGTTGAAGAGAAAAGTCTAAGTTTCTTAGAATTCTGTGGAGTATTTGACACATGTAATCTCTATATAGGGACTACACCAATCTCTTGACCATCAGCCCTTGAAGTACATAATGGATGTGGAGAGGTGGCGCCAGTTATCACAGCAGCAACAATACAATGCTCATAACTTCTTCCAGGTGCTCACTCATACCACATTGAGTTCTGAGGTACAAAATAGCATGTAAATTGTGATGCTCTCTCTCATCTTACTCAAGCGAGGATACCTGATGAGGCCTTACCTGTCACAGGACAAGAGTTGAGAGAGCAGACCATAGAGACCCAGTACTTTTTCGTGTTCTAGAACTTGTACAGTTGGAATGGAAAGAAGTCTACCTCAAAAGTGAACTTACATTCAATAGAGTGCACTCATTTGGGTTAGCAGAGTAGACGTTCCAATGAAACTGATAGAGAGAGTTTTGGAAAGTGATGAAGGGTTATCCTGAAATGGTTCAACTGGACAAATTGCACTCACAAACTGAATTGATTAAACTAGTTAAAATGAAAAAACTAGCAAAAACAGTCTACTGGCACAAACTGCAATATCTAGCTGAATTGGTTTAACAAGAAAAAATAATGAAAGCAGCCGAAAAAAAGCACAAACTAGCAGAATTGGTTCAACTGGACAAAATACAAAAACTAGCTGAATTTGTTCAACTGGTTAATATGATAAAGAAACGGGTGCACAACTAGCTGAATTGGTTCAACTGTTTAAAAATTGTCAAACTAGCTGAAATAATTAAACTGGACAAAATGCACAGAGTAACTGAATTGGTTCAACTGGTCAAATTGGTCAAATTTATCAAAGAACCCAAAATTGTTTATCTGGAAAAAATGCACAAACTAGCCAAATTGATTCCACTGGTTAAAATTGTCAAGCTAGCGTAAACAGTAAACCTCTACAAAACTGCTTAATCTAGCTGAATTTGTTCAACTGGTTAAAATGGTTGATGATAGAGAACATAGGGGTGGCAGAGCACCACTATACTATTGGCTACTACATACACAATTTAATTAACTCGAACATATTTCTCTAATCATGTCATTTAGGCGATCAATTTGCTTCTCTCTGAATTTTAGGAAATATTAGAAATATTAGAAAATTTAAAGTTTTGCGATTTTTGGCTTGTCATAAACATGTCTTTCTCATTAGGATATTCATTAAAAAAGTACAAAAAATTCACAATTACGTTTTACAAATTGACGATATATAATATAATACACACTAAATTTTGGATGTTGTAGGGCAATGAAAATAACTATTTTGTTTCTTATTTGTTTCAGTATCGCCATGTTGCTGCCATCATAGGAATGAAAATACATATTATTGCCATTTCATTTGTATTATTTTATGGTGATTTATTCAAATTCTGTTTGCGCTGGCTAAATAAAGATGCTTCAAGAAAATTTGTGTCAATAATATGTAGTAATCAAAGTAGACAAGCTTTTAAATTCTCACGAGAAACTTATAAAAGTTTTAATGTACAAAAAGATAAAATTGGATCAAATAAACATATCGCTAAACTTTTACAAAGGAAAAAGAAAAACGTTCTTCCAAAAGAGGAAATTTAGTCAAATAAAGAAATATAAAACCTTTTCTCAAGAAAAAAACTGTACCTTTGTCAGGAACTTTTGTTACAACTACTAACTTACGATCAGATTGAAAGCATTAAGAAAGTTCGAAAAGACAAGCAAAGTCCCAATTACATATTCTTTCATGAGAAAGATGAAGTAAAAGAACAAATTGTTTCAAGTTCAGAAAGATGAGGAAGAATTAAAAGAAAGAATGATAAAATCAGACGTATCAGAAATTTTAATTGATATAGAAATTTTAAAATAATTCTATACAATGGATGCAAAATTAGTACTATTGATAATTTTTAATAATTTCAAAATTGTCACTCGTTAATGAACCACTATTCAATTTGATTAATAAAAATTTCAATGAAAATGGTAAAACAAAGATCAATCGTGGTATTAATATTTCATTTGACTTAATTAGCAATAAACTAAAAACTATTATAGAAAATACATTTTTTATCGGTAATAAAAATAAAAACATTAAGAACATAATATAAAATACATTTGATAAACTGACAAGTAGAGTAGAAGGCTTTTTTTATCCATTTATAAGGAATTATCAGATTTAATTACATACGAACAATAGAGAAATACTTTGAAGGATCATCTTATATTGATTTAACTTTAGAACTGAAAACCATAGAAAAGGAATTATCAACATTAGGAATAATAATAATGTGTTTTTATTAGGATAATTTTTTCATGAGTACTACTCAGAAATTGTTCAAGACCAACAACGCCAAAATAAATATTTGAAATACAAAGATGAGCTTGATATTAGTGATATTCACTTTCCTGTTACAATAAATCAATTAAGTAAGTAGTCTAGTAGTTGGGGATGGGGGCACAGTTTCAAAAAGACTATGCCCAAACTGCCCAGCTACTATTCTACGGGAGATGTTCTATGCTACCATGCCACGTCATCACAATATGGTTACAGTACATTGGAGAAACATGTTCAATGTGACCATGTCACGCCAATGTGAAATGCACTTGTAATTTGTATGTCAAAACAATGTATAATCCTATTTTATGAATAATGATTATCATTACATAGATCCTTTCATTGATGACTCACAATTGAAAGATGCTGTTGCCATTGATAATAAAAATAATGTAATACCAAGAAATGAAGAAAGAGCGTTGAAAAACGAACCATGTTTTGTGATGATGGATGATGAAAATGTTGATGGAGCTTATGTCTAAGAATTGTGGTAAGGTTGATGGGTATGAAGTGGTAATTGAATTTGTTGATTATTATAATAATGGCTTTAGGATTGAACGTTAAATCAGTCTATCATAGAAAGTATGATATCGAGAATGTCCTTATGGAATTGAGTAGTGAATTTAATATAAATGTATCTGTTGAATTAAGAATAAGATAATGAGAATTTTAGATGATGATGAATACAAGATTTGTTTTGAGAAAAGTGATTAAACTTATAGAATTTTCTTAGATAAGACATTCCAGGAAAGAATAAAAAGAACATTAATATTTTATGAAAAATATTGGAATAAAATTAATTCAATTATAGTTCATAGAATAGAGGAGATCATTCGGAGATATATTTTGTGAATGATGCTTATCCCTTTTGTCAACTAAAGAACACGTATATATGAAGATTGATCGTCATATAATTTGCCTCTTCTAAAGGATCACAAATCAACCAGTATTTTTTCATATGATGTGTAAGCAAAACGACATTGCTCGATTTTTTTTTATAATTTTTTATTTCACTCTAAGTCTTCAGAAAAACACCTAATCCAGATATAGCCTCTAACACAATTGGGTTGATTGTCACACTACCTGCTGTTGTGCCTCATACAACAAGACATGCTGATGATAAATGACATAATTTCAATTATTTGAAATGTATATGCTCTCCTGTATGGCCAAAATTTTGTATGATAAAATCGGCATAGGGATTTGATTTCATCTATCTGATTTTCATCAATGTTGTTTTCTCTATTACTAAAATCAAATGACAGCATTTTCTTTGCCACGAATTACCAGAATGAAACAAAACATCCTTGGTAAAATGATATGTGAAATAATTATTGTTGCAAATATTTCAAGTCTTCCTTGGCTAGTAATTCTACTGCCACTGGACCTGTATGTCCCACATTAATAATACCTAGCTAGTAAAATCTTAGCGGTCACTGGGCCAGCACTTTGAGGCCTGCCTAGTCAGTACGTTTATATATGTTACAATAACTAGCCACTAAAATTGGTAATCACCTGTTGATTGATAGCTGGATCCAAATGGTTGAAACCCATCCCAGTGGCCTATCAAACGAATATGATAAAATAAGAATAACACGTGAAAATATTGCTTGATAAGTGATTATTTTACATCTAGTGACAGATGATCAGATACAAATTCATGAAATAGAAGTGGGCCAACTTTGCCCAAACGGTAAGGGAGTATGAAGTAAATGAACTTTTACTATTCACATATACCTACCCAGCAAGAAATACAGTATTCCTATCTTAAGCAACAACCTGCCACTACTATACCATACTAATACTTTACTTTATATTTCCTTTTTTCCAATCACTTTATCTCGAGCTTTAGTTAATTCACTGATTTCACTAATTCACTTTACCCACAGAAGCAATGTTTGGAAGATCTCCTTTAACATATTTTGCTTGAACTTGGAAAGTACTTTGACAGAAATCACATTTAATTTCACAGCCAGAGGCTTTTACTCTGTTCGTGTTAGAGGCTGCCTGATGTCGATTTTAGCTGGATGGACTTGTTTGAAAAATGTCTTGATGAAACCCGCCGCAAGTTTGATAATATGCTAATCTGTGGAGACCTGAATCTTCCTAAGGTCCCATGGGATTGTCCTGATTCTTGAATAGCTGCTAACGAACGGTGTTTTGTTGACATTCTCAATGACCACTTTCTAATCCAACACAATGGTTTCCTGACATGGGGAAACAATGTCCTCGACTTAGTAATCTCGAGCATATCAGATCAAGTGAGTGTGACAGAAGTGTTGGAACCTAATGAGGCAGAAATGTTTACAGATCATTGCATTGTCTCATTTGAACTCTCCTCTGCTGTTAAGGCGCCACCAAAACTCAGGTGCTTTGTCTATGATTATGCTAGAGGAGATTTTAACGGGCTCATTCTTCATTTCAATCCGTGAGCTTGTCCAATGCAATATCCACTGGAGACCTTGATCTACATAGGAACTGGCATAGCTGGAAAGACACCTTCTTATTGGGCGTGGCTTGAACTGTTTAATTGGTACTTCATGTCACTATTTACATCTGACCCTATCACTTGTAATTCAGCTGACGAGGAGTATGCTGGGCCTAATGTTGATCCAACATCATCAGACCTGACTTTCACGGTCACTCAGGTCTTGAATGTACTAGCCAATTTTGATGCAAGTAAAGCTATGGGTCCTGATGAAATCCCGGCTAGGATTTTGAAGGAGATAGCATATGAGATTGCTTCATTCTTATGCAAACTATTCAACACGTCTCTCCCCTTCCCATGGACTGAAAACTGGCCAACATGGTCCCTGTATTCAAGAAGGATAATAAAGAATAAGCCGAGAACTACAGGTCAATCTCATTACTGTGCCTGGTTTCCAAGGTGATAGAATGCTGCATGTTCAATTCAATCAAAGACCATGTTTATAGTCTGATCAATAGCTCACAACATGGTTTCGTAACAAGGCAGTTTTGCGTGACACATTTGGTAGAGGCACTCGACTACATCATGCTAGTCAGGTCACATCTCGGCTATGCCACTCAAGTGTGGGTGCCCCAGTCGAAGGAATTGATCCGTAAGATAGAACGGAGTCAGTGCTGAGCTACAAAATACATCCTCAACTTGCCCTTCCTCCGCCAGGAATCCTATAAAGACAGACTGATTTAACTGGCCTTTCTATTGTAATCCTACTGTAATCCCCACCAGATGCTCCCTCTCAAAAGCAACTAGATCCAGCAGCAACACAAATGTAACTCTATTTGTTCCCAAAAAATGTAAGGCAACTATGTATCAGAGGTCTTTCTTCATCCCCACAGTAAGAGTATGGAACACTCTAGCTGATAAGATTGGTCTATCTGTAACTATCCCTTTCAGTTCTTGCAAGGCACACCTACTCAGTTACTCTGACCCTGAAGATCCTCACTCATTTAAGTCTCTCTGTACAAGTTGCAACAAAGCCTGTAATCTGACAAGAAACATTGATTGTTGCTACTAATTACTAATTAATTTATATTGCAGTTTTTATTTTAATTTTGTGTTCTGGGCCCGCAGTAATTGACGTAAGCTGTTGCAGAGTCCCTGCCTGTGTTGTACCATTTATATTTTGTGTTTTGTTTATGTATATTTAATATTAAGTTGACAAAGCTAATAAAATAAAATAAGTAAAGTTATCCAGGCAACTTTCAGAGAGACTGGTTTCCAGTAACAATGAACTAATCTCTAAAGCTGGTGATTATGTAATAGAAATAGTTAAGAAATATATTGTTTTCATTTTCGATTTACCATATTTATGATACTGGAATAGTTTACTTTCTGGTTTTCTCTGTGTGAGATCCCTAATAATTATTTTTCTATCTATATTTTTTTACATCCAAGACAAATTTGAACTACCACCCTGCATAAGGGTAGTTGAAGATTCGTCACACAAGTTGCAAAAAGTTGGTTTAAAAAATACATGTACAATTAAAAAATATTAGTTTAATGGGGCTGTTTTTACGTTGTTTGTTGTTACATTCATCAGTAAAGCAGTACTTATTTACCTCCGTTATCAAAAAAATGTTTAAACATGTTTCAAAGTGTAAGCCTATAAGTATTTTATGCCAATGTCTAGGTGGCTGCTCCGACAGATTGATCAAGAGCTCAGTTTGTAGAGGCGTTTCGACAGCGAAATAAACTTACTATATTCTTGTTGCAACAGTCTCAAGGCTGAAAGATGTCTTTCCTGAGTGTTATAATTTACAGGTTTTCCATGGCATTCTTGGCAGGGGCAATGAACATGAATGGAATTTCTTTCAGTGCAGAAACACAAAGACGCTAGTGCAAGACCCACTATCTTTGTCATATAAGCACTCAGTCTGACAGGATAGCGTCAAACCAATTTGGTTGAGGAGCCAATGGATCAAATGGATAGAAGGCTTCAGCAACCGATCAGATGGGAACAGTCTTGGTATAAAGAACTGTGTCATCACGTTCCAGCCCTCATCGGCGAATATTCGCGTTGAGTTGTGCAGGCTTTATAGCATGTTCGGAGTTATGACACCAAGAGGAAAGACTTATAGATACTCACCCTTATGCAGTCAACAAGCAGTTGATTCTGTTTCCGAGAATGACAAAGAGGTGGAGCAAAGTCTATCCCAAAGTCAGCGTGAGAGTCGCAAAAGAGGCGCACATGGAGAGGATGATTGCGCTCCACAGAACAAAAGGTTGGAAACAAGTGTGTCAGTTTTCGTTTCTAATCTACCAATGATTTTGCAGAGGTGAAACAAAAGTCAAATGTATCTGTGGCAGGCCAAAAACATTTGTTCTGTGCTGTTTTTCATGCATTTCCTTGCATGGAATGCGAAATTAAATCGAATTTCAAGATCAAGTCAAGTCAAGTCAAGTCATCTTTATTTAGGCAAGGTGGCCCCATCAGCCATAGGCTGGTATCAAAAGGGGCCTTGTGTAAAATTGAGATTACATGAAACAAATTTTAAAATTTAGAAATTACCTTAAAATTATGTACAAGGAGTTTAAAAATTTGAGTGAACGGAAATTACATATCTATGAAGTACAACTTTCCTAGATCAAAACAATTTAAAGAAAAGCAATTAAAGTATGTCCAAGTACTGTATTAAAGACGAATGGCTAAAATGAAAACTAAGAGAGTTCTTAAAAATGTAGAAGCAACGTGGCTTCTTTTACTAGTGTAGGTAAGTCATTAAAAAGAGCTGCGCCTGAAAACCGTAACGTATTTTTCCCTAACGTTAACTTTGGGTTGAGTAGGTATATGTCATCCCTTTGTTTTGTCACGTAAGTGTGAGTAGTGTGATTTCTAATGAAATAATTCAATAAATATGAAGAAACTAAGTCACTTGGACATTTAGAAACTAAGATACATTTGTGGGCTTTTCTTTGTGTTTCCAAATCGACCCACCCTAACATTCTGAATGCTTCTTTGGTCGTTACCTTCTTTTGTATTATGTGTGCTGCCCTGTTTTGCAAACGTTGCCACAAACTGACATTGAATTGCACTTTCCATTATTTTAGAAATCAACTGAAGAACTGAGATCAGGCGATAGTTATTTGGGTCGCTTTTATCTCCAGATTTGTAGATTGGACTTACCTTAGCACTTTTCCATTCAGATGGTATCATACAAGTAGAAATTGATGAATTTTTAGTCGGGCAATAGCTCTTCATATTTCATTTGCTGCATCCTTTAATAACCGAGCAGGCATTCCATCAAGAATAGTGCTTTAGTTGGCTTCATTTTAAGCAGTTCTTTCTGTACAAAACTGAAGGACACTTCTTCGAGGACAACATCATGTTTTACCTTTGGTAGAGAACAGCGTTTAAAATGGCTGCACAAGGTATTAGCAATCGAGGTAAATAAGCAGTTAAAACTTGAGGCTGTTGGACCATCACTCCGCGAAGGTACCAATTTGATTTTTTTTGGAACGATTTTATATAATGTTAACAGATCATCATTGTTCATCTGCTAGCTGATTTGAATAGTAATCACTTTTCTCTTTATGCATTCTCGTGTTAATAGTATTGTGTAACCGCTTATAACTACTCCAATGTAGTTCGCTTGTAATTAGAGCCTCTTTCTTGCATAAGCTTTCTAAGATTGCTTGTTAACTACGACACTGAATATCCACGTGCTTGACGCCTAACAATAGGTGCGTGCATGTCAGCGATTGTCAGGATTAGGTCCTTGAAGGTGTTCCAGCTTCCCTTTGGTGTCTCTTCAAGTTTGATGATTTCCCAGAGGATGTGTTCTAGGTCCAAACGGAACAATGCAGGATTGTAATGTTTGTAATTTCTTGTTACAAAAATTTTTGGGGAAGGGGGGGGGGGGGCCTATGAAGCCTTCTTACCCCAAAAATGGTACTATGGTCAGAAAAACCAACTGGTATAATTCCAGCAAAATAGAGCTCTGGCCTTGAGGTGATAAATAAATCAATTAAAGTTCTTGTCAGCTGCGTTACCCTTGTAAATCCTTTCATCAATTGTTTTAGATAAAAGGATTTGGTTATCCACTGAAGGTGTTTAGTAGTGGTATTTTTTTGAGAAGTTGACATTAAAGTCCGCCAAAAGTAAAGTTCCCAGCCGTGCAAGATCTCAAAGTTGGTCTTGAAGGATAAATGTTGACCTTCACTTCATTTGCGTCCAGTGTTGTCTTAGGAACTGGAAGATTACTTTATTGGTTTGCTTAAGGTTGAAACTTCCAGACTTGAGCAAAGAGCAAGCATAGTATTAAGCAAACTGTCAGAGAGCTCTCGTAACTCGACTGACCCACCATGTTGAGTCTGCTATTTGGTCGAGCGTCAAGGGTCGAGGGTTACATGTCGAGGGTGAGGGTAATATGTAAAGGGTCCAGAAAAACTAAAAATAAAATCAATAATTAAATAAGAAATATTAAAATAAAAATATATTAAAATAAAAAATATACTAAATATGAAAAATAAAAAATATAACTATAAACAAAATAAGAAATATAAATAAATATTAAAGTTAAAAATGAAGTAGAAATAATCAATTAATAATTAAATAATAGTTAATAATAACACCAGGAATGCTAGTATTCTATGCAGCATTTTTTGGGCACGTCTTTGGGAGAGCGTTCTGTGACATCCAAGTTAACTGCGTGACAGATCGAAAGAAAGAACAGATTACTGCACCATTTCGAGGGCAAAAAACGAAATTATTCTGTAAAATTGGGCAAAACACCTAACTGCTGTAAAATATTGACTGCACACTAATTGCCTTTATTGCGTGGCCTCAAGTGCTAACCGGTGTGCGACCTCTTCTGGAATTTGAACTACATACCTACGTTTCGGACTCGTTTCGGACTGACAAACCGGATGCTTTAAAAAAGAATACTGTACCTTTACCCAGCAATTATTCTTAGATTAAGAATATTATTCAAAACATTACAACTTTTGTAAGCAGACTACCATGTTCGTGCGGGAGAAACATCTCTGGGAAAGAAAACTCTGGTGTCGATCTGGCATGTAGTTTTCCGGTAAAAGCCTTTTTTGTCAGGGTAATTGGGCATGCCTGGAAAACCGACCACATTGTGCCTTGACAAGTGTTGATAAATCTCAAATAAAGCACCTATTACTATACCATTTTTTGGGGACGAAAATCGGAATTATTCTGTAAGATTGGGCAAAACACCCAACTGATGTAAAATATTGGCTGCACAATTTAATGTATGGCGCACCCGCGGGGTCATGTTACTCTTTCCATTTTGTCAATCACACATGGAAATCATATGAAAGGTTTAGGATTATTTACCTTCATACGGATCCTGTTTTTGAGGTGTCTGCTTCCTGACTTTAAATTATTTTCAGAATGTCTTCATCGGAAAACTCACCTTAGCCGGCACCAGTAGTGGTACACGTGCTCTCACGTATTCAGAAGTCATGCAAGGAATATCTGCGCCTTTGGACAATGACTTTTGGCATAGTTACCAAAAGCAAAACTTCGAGGAGGCCATGCGGATTGCCTTGGAGGCGTCGCTTAATGAAGTTCCACTAGTAAGTAGATCTATGTTCATTGCCGTTCATTATACTTTTTGTTGATGATTAGAGTAAAACCTGCAAACAAAAACTTTGTCACCCTTATCAATTTTAATTTTAGAGATGTAAGAGTGACTCTGAAGACAGTCTAGATAAGAAAACCCCTGGATTTAACCATGCACTTGGCCAGGGGAAGGTACGCTAAAACGTTCAGTAATCTGTATGTAAGAACTTAGGTTCAGTAAGAACGAAAATATATTTATGTTCGTTACATTACTACCTGCATTAGAGTGAGCGAGACACGGGAAGCAAAGGGAAGTCTATCTCTCCCTGCTTTTGTTTGCTTGCGCAAGATTTTTCAGTTGCGTGGGGCTTTTTTACTATTCCCCACAATCTTAATGCCTTGAACAGGCTAAATTGAAAGCCCTTCCGACGATTTTCGTTTGGCTATGTAGCAGAAAAATATGCCCACGTGAAGCAAGAAGTCTGGAAAGATGGTGAACCAGGAGTTTCACGCTACCAAGTAAGTGCAGAGAACCATATAATTCTTCCAAATAGGCTCCCCTTCCTCCCATCTACTGGAAAAGCCAGGCATTTAAACCTTATTTTTTTTACAAGGAACACTACCACCTCACCTCACCTCACCTCATCTCCAATGCAATAGAATAATTGTTAAATATCCTTGAATTATTTTTACCCTAGATGTCACAAAGACCAATCGATGTGATTGAAATTACTGATTCACCACCAAAGAAGAAAAATAAGAAAGCGAGCGTAATCTGTTGTCATAATGCAGGGGGGAGGGGTTTATGTTATGAGGTTATGGATCGACAATATAGAGACCAAATTGTGTGAAAACGCCAGTTAAATGCATTTAGTACAGGTAATCACGTGGTGTGCAATTTGGATCAAATATCCACGAGGAGATTTTTTAAATATTAATAACATGGCACGAGCATAGCCAATTCAATTCCTTATTCCGGAGTTTTGCGAGAATAATGTTGGAGATTTTAAAGTTCTTCTCCTTGTCTTTTTCCAAGCAAAATTTGTTTAGAATACAAACAAGACATTTTCAGTCTTTCCTTTTAGGAAAATTCCCGACTATGTGCCGAAGGTTTCCTGAAGATCTCCACTACACAATACACTCACCAAACACCGAATGTAAAGGCATGTCTAATTGGCTGTCTGATCTATCAGAGTCGCTGAATGGCTGCATGTTAAATTGATTTTCTGGCCCATTTGTTAGATTCATTGTCAGTTCTGGTGCAACTCGTGAGAAAGACGTTTCTGAAGTTCTGACATTGACTCCCAGGATCAATTGAACCAACCCACTTTCTCTATTTGAAGGTAAAACAAATAGTCTGTCATAATAATATAAATCGTAACCAGAACTAAGTATTAACTTGGTATTATGGAATACTAATATTAGGTATTATGGAATACTAATACTTAACTTGCCTTAATCCTTTGGCAAAAGAATCTCAAGTCGAGTAATTTGTTTACATGTACCAAAACTTATAACATCTGAAATATGTGCTCTGGGGGGTTCTTACTTCATGGCCTCATCATCTGAATTTTTTTTCTTTAAACCACGCAGGGAACCCTTTACGCCCTAGTAGTGATCAGCATCAATTTTCTCCTTGTGATATCAATTCCTAAAATAATCAACCAGAGATGTCGTGAGAGTTAAAAATAATTTAAAAGAGGTAAAATTATATTGATATTTTGTATTGATATTTTATTATCCTTTAAAGGATAAAAAGGTTCAAAACAATGGCGAATTTCGTCTGTCTTTATATTTATCCGCATCACTTCTTTAATTGTTATTTTAAAATAACTTTATTTTTCCAGAAAATCGAAGGTAAAGACAAAGGCAAAGAGCCAGTTGGAGAGTGACGTCTAATCTCTTTGGGACAGTTTGTCTTGTCACAAGACTACTACTAAAATAAAAAAAAGAAGAAAAAACAGTGCAAGATATCCCTTGATACATGGGACAATGTTGAGAGGCAATCAGTGGGACGGTTACCCGATAAAATTGAATTGCTTCAAGACGGAAGAAAATGGAAGAAAACCTGCACTACTGTCTGGAGGGGGCATGCTCGCACACAATTTGCAGACTGTAAAGGTTCTGTTAAGCGCAGCAAGGAACACTGTCCATTTAAGGTGCAGTTTGGGGTAACCAATACCACTCAGTTTGAAAAAAAGCATGACGGGAAACAGGTGTGCAAAGGATGCGGCAGTGAAGGTCAATTTGTACCTTGCAGTGCATGTAGGTACCTACATTACAGGAAAAATGTTACCGTCTATCACGTTGGAGAACACACATGTCCTGTTACCCCAATACAGAAAAAGAATGACATCAAGACTGTCGAGCAACTGGTCAGGAACAACCCAAATATAAAGTCTTCTGAGATACAGTGGACAGGAGAGTAACAAGGAGAAACGAGCAAACTGTACAGCTAGTGTACAGCAGTGATTTCAGCAATATGTATTATCATCCGATTCCGTCGCAAATTTCAAGGATAAATCCTCCTTTCACGGGACTTGTGGAAATTGACAATACCGTCTATGCTTCCTTAAATCAGGCACAGCGCGATATTCTTCATTCATTTCAATTTAATATAATTATGCGTTTGTAAGCTGTAGCAAAAATACCCTGGATACGGTTTTTCGAACGGCATTTGATGGTGATTTCAGTAATAGGTAATTGTAATAGTACTAAGTAATAATAAATAATACTCCGGATAAGGTAATTTCTGAAGAAAAAAAATTGAAATGCTCAATTGTTTTTTGGGAAATGTTTGACATGTTACCCTCACCCTTGACATATAACATATCAGATTGTGCAGTCAATATTTTACAGCAGCCCAATTTTACAGAATAATTTCGTTTTTCGCCCTCCTAAGAAGGTACAGTAATAGGTCCTTTGTTTGAAATTTATCAACACTTGTCAAGGCACAATGTGGTCGGTTTTCCAGGTATGCCCAATTCCCCTGACAACAGAGGCTTTTACTGGAAAACCACATGCCACCAGTTTTTTTTCCAGATGTTTCTCCCATATGAACATGGTAGTCTGCTTACGAAAGTTGTAATGTTTGAAATTATATTCTCAATCTAACAACAATTGTTGGGTGAAGGTACAGTATTCTTGTTTAAACCATCTGGTTTTTGAATCCGAAATGAGTTGGAAACGTGGGTATGTAGTTCAAATTCCAGAATGGGTCGCACGCCGGTTAGTGCTTGAGGCTGCGCAATAAAGGCAGTTATTGTGCAATCAATATTTTACAGCAGTCCAGTGTTTTGCCCAATTTTACAGAATAATTTCGTTTTTCGCCCTCTGAAATGGTGCAGCAATCTGTTCTTTCTTTCAATCTATCACACAATTAACAAGGATGTCACGCAATGCTCCCCCAAAGACATGGCCAAAAAGCGCTGCGTAGAATACTAACTTTTCCGGTGTTATTATTAACCATTATTTAGTTATTAATCTATTATTTCTATTTTATTTTAAACTTTAGTATTTATTTGTATTTCTTATTTTGTTAATATCTATATATTTTTTTAGTTTTATTTTAATTATATTTTCTGTTTCAATATATTTTTATTTTAATATTAGTTATTTAATTATTGATTTATTATTTTTAGTTTTTTTGGACCCTCGACATATTACCCTCATCCTCGAAATGTAGCCCTCTACCTCCGATGCTCAACCACATGGCAGACTCGCAATGTTGGATTCTTATTGCTCACTGCGCTGGATAGTCTTTAAAAAGAGGATTCGCTTGACAATAATATCTGAAGGCAGACTAATTTAAAATGACAATTTAAAGTTCAACACCATTTCCCACTTCTCGAAATCAGAGCTTGCGTTAATTAATGTTAGAATAAGATATAATATGAAGAGACCAGTCTAGGAAGCCACGATGATCTCAGCTACCTCCAACTCACTTGTCACAGCTGTTTTTCTCAATAGAATTTTCTAATCACAGTCTGTTTGTTAAAGGAGCTACGTCACGATGTTTTGAGTCATTTCATCAATGGCCTAAATCAGCATTAAAGTGTTGAGAAACCTTAAAATAATAGTTTGCTGAGGAAGAAAAATGTCAAAGGGTGACTCTAAAACAAAGAGGAACAAGGATGGCTGAGGATGGAGAAGATTGAAACAGATTAATACAATACACGAATGATGACATAGCTCCTTTAATGCATTTTTTCATAACAATTGTAAGATCCAAGTGTAACATTTTTTCTATTATTCGTTCTTGCGTAATTTGTTTTTCCTTAGCGTACGCAAATTAGTTTATACTTCTTTTCGTCCATTTGTTTAGTCTTTTTTTTGGCGTTAATTTAAGTGTTTATTCCTTTCTGTCAGTTTTCGCGCCCTCGTTAGCGTTTCTGTGCTGTTTCATCTTCATTAGCGCCTTTCTTAGTTTCTATAGTTTTATTTTCCGCATGTTCTAGCGTATTTTCCATATCGTAGATTTGCAGTACAGTTTTGGGCAGTTCATTTTGGTCCGCGCTTAGCGCAGTTCTGTTTAGTTTCTTGCAAGTCTTTTCGCGTTATTCGCAGTCCGCTTTACAGCAGTTTTCTCTGGCCGAAACAATGTAAGTGTACTTCACAGTCCTCGTTTTGCAGTTTCAACGTTGAAAATTGTTGGTGACATGTCGTTTCGTCATGAGCTTTAGCCGCAAGCAGCTTACAGATCCCGTCGCTCGGCGAGTGGGAACACGCGTACAACAACCAAACCGTTCGCTAGATTTTGAAGCGTCTAACCTGGAAACACTTCGTTTAAAGAAAAATTCAAGGTCTGGTCACCTATCTACCGTAACCGCCATTTCCAATGAAATTTCTGGCTTGCTTACTGATGATCATAATCTTCAGGAGGTTAAAGAGAAGCTTCCTTACTTGGACAACGCTTTTGAAAGATTCAAAGAGGCCCATCGCGATTACGTCGAAGAAATTCTGGATGAGAACGCCATTATTGAGGGTCAACGCTATCTTGAAGACAAAGAGAGAAAGGTTCGTGTGTTCCGTCAGGAGATCGTCGAATGGATAATTAATATCGAGTACAAGCTATTAGCAGAATCGCTTCAGGTAGATTCGGCAGTGAATCCCGAGGATTCAATTAGTTGTGCTGGCACACCAATTCCTTCAGGTGCTTCCAAGGTTTCAAAACATTCAAGTCGAGCAAGTTCACGTGGTGGTCGTGCTTCATCAGTTGCAGCCGCGAGAGCCAAAGAAGCCGCAAGAATTGCCGAGTTAAAAGCTGAAATTTCTATGCTTGAAAAGCGCCAAACACTCGAAGAGAAAAAGTTTCGTTTACAGCAGGAAGAATTATGCCTTAACCTCGAAGCCGAAATGATCAAGACAACAGCTAAGGAGAGGGTCTACGCAGCAATGACCTCCCCTTCTCTACCGGAGGTGAAGCCTTTAAAATTGGAGACAGAGCTCCAGGATCAGGAACCCCCTCGTACCAGCCCCCGCGCGAAAAGGTCTTTTCCAGGCGAGGTGCACCACCCAGGCCAGGGCGTGTCTATGGATTCTGTTCCTTACGGCCAGTTTGATTATCAAGCCTGTACCGTCGGTGAGGATCTGAGAAAGGAAACGATTGGTTTGCAGCGGCAACAGACTGCTCTTCAGTTTCAGCAGAACAGAATGATGGAATTGCTAGCGCATAACCAGAATAGGAACAAACTTCCGCAGCCCCGTGTCCCTGTGTTTGACGGAAACCCTATTGAGTACCGCACCTTCGTTCGCGCTTTTGAAAATTTGGTTGAATCCAGAACATCTAGCAGTACTGATAGACTCTATTACCTCGAGCAGTTCACCGCAGGGGACGTTAAGGAACTTGTAAGATCCTGTCATCATTTACCAGCGGAAGAAGGTTACGATGAGGCTCGTAGGCTTTTGAGAAGGAAGTATGGTGACGATTATCGCATAGCATCCGCTTACGAGATGAAGGCTCTCAACTGGCCGAGCATAAAGACAGAAGATGGTGTGGCTTTGAATCGTTTTTCAGTCTTTCTCGCAAGTTGCAAGAACGCATTGGCAGGTAGCCAGTACATTTCTAAGTTTGATCAGCCAGGAAACGTTCAAAGGTTGGTGCTCAAGATTCCTTACAGCATGAGAGAAAGATGGCGTCGCTTAGCTGATGACATCATGGACAGACAGTTAAGGCCAGTACAGTTTAGTGACTTCGTCGCCTTTGTTGATCGCGAAGCAAGAATACTAACCAACCCAGTCTTTGGCAAGATATCCGATACCGTAAGATCGGCGCCTGGTCAGCGGTCCTTTGGTGGCAAGACATCCAATCCCAAGAATCTCAGTCTCTTAGCACATGTCGGCGATAGTGAAGGTCATACCAGTGAAACTGTTCCGCAGGGTGTAAAGGAGCCAAGTCAACGCGCCGATGGAGAGCAGAGACCTCAGACTCGCAAGGTTCAGCCATCTGGAATCGATCAGGGTCCCTCACAAGGGAAAAATCGGTGTCTCTATTGTAGCAGAAACCACGCCCTTGAGGATTGTCAGTCATTATCAAACACAGTCAAGACGGTGGTCCTTATGCTTCAAGAACTCGAATCGGCTGGGCGGTAAATGGTCCCTTAGGCCGTCGTCACCATAGTTCACGGTCATCCACTTTTGTTGCTAAAGTCGATCACTGGCTCCAACAGATGATAGAAGACTTCTACAATCGCGATTTTACCGATCCCACCGCTGATAGCAAGACAGAGATGTCTCAAGACGAACGTAGATTTATGCAAATCGCCGAACAGACGGTGGAGTTGAGAAATGGGCACTATCAAATCTCTTTACCTTTTAAGGATCGCCAAACGCCTTTACCCAGCAACCAGGCTCAGGCCTGGCAGCGCACCATTTGGTTGAAGGAAAGGCTGGAAAGAGACCCGAAGTTGTACCAAGATTATAAGGCCTTTATGGAAGACATTCTCTCCAAAGGATATGCACGCAAAGTGTCCCCTGATCAGAAGAGCCCCGCGAAGGGCACCGCCTGGTACATACCGCACCATGGTGTTTACCACCCTCGCAAGCCAGGAAAGATTCGCGTCGTGTTTGACTGTTCGGCCAGATTTATGGGAAAGTCCCTCAATGACATGCTGTACAAGGGCCCGGACCTAACTAGTTCGCTTGTAGGAGTCCTGTTGAGGTTTCGTGAAGAGAGAGTGGCCGTCATGGCGGACATAGAGTCCATGTTCCACCAAGTGAGAGTTCCCGATCCTGACAGTTCCTTTCTGCGTTTTCTTTGGTGGGAGGATGGCAACATGGCGCACGAATTACAAGAATATCGGATGGTCGTTCACTTGTTTGGAGCCATTTCATCACCAGCTTGCGCAAACCTCGCACTCCGCAAGACAGCAGAAGATAATCGTCACAGCTTCCCTCCTGACGTCATTAACACAGTTAAAAGAAACTTTTA